ACTCCACCTTTATATTTGTTGTAATCTAGAATAATACATGGTTTTTCATTATGGTTTATAACAATGTCATTAATGTGATGAAAGGTTGACAATAATATTACTGCTTTGTTTTTCTTAGGTACATAAGAAACTATAGTAGAGTCATTTTGAAAACCATGCTAGAATAAACTGGTCGATGTGGGGCTGGCAATAACTTTTTAAAAGTAAATAAGTTTCTGGTTACTAAACACAAACAACGCATACAAAGTAACTCGCGGATGAACAAGCACCGCGCCTGAGGTCACGACAGAACACAAATATATATAGCAAATTATTAAATATAAAGAAAAGTTTCTAGATATTGGTTTACTAACTCTAATTATTTTCGTTTTACAGTTGCCATTCTTAAAAACTCGTTACACTTTTTTTTGCTTTAATTACTAATTAGTAATTAGTGCAGTTGACAATAACTCTAATCATTTCTGGTGTTATAAGGAGTTTAAAGGCAGTATCCACACTTTGGCTGCAAACCTGAGCTCCAAATCTTGTTGGGCCAGTTGGTTGTCGAATAATATTGTGTGCACGTGGCTATACAGCATTTACACGTAGAAGTTTATTTCAAATTTCCTCACCATTCTATGAAATCATGTTCTGATCTATAATGTGATTTTCTTGAACATTTTCTTCATCACTTTCATCAGAGATGATAGCATCTGATTCATCGTCAGCTATAACAATATCTTCTTTATCGTCTGTAAGGTTTTCGTCAGCTGAGTCATCACTTGAAAACAAATTATTTAAACTAAAAATAATATTTTTAGCCTCGAATGCAGTATTTCTTCTTGGGCGGCTCATTATATTAATTATATTTATTCTAAAAATAGTTTTTATATATGAAATACAAATATGTGAAAAATATATAACAAGTATTGTAGGGATTTTATTACAAATTGGTCCAAAATTATATTATTTTTAACGTAACAAAATTTTCAACTAACAATATTATTGTCAATTGATTAGTAAAACAAAAACATTTTACACTAACAACTTCATTAAATGATAATAAAAGATGTTCCGAAGTGGCAGTTCAAATAGACAAAATTTGTTGATGTGGCAGTTAAAAATAAACTCTTCTAGGGTAGCAAAATATCCCGCCGTTCTTTAAGGGTTAAACCACTTTCAGAACAAGGAACACAAGGAAGCTCCCCTTTACTTTTTTTGTAAAAAATTTTTTTTTTTTTTTAAAATTCTAGGGGATTTTTTTTGAAATGGTCGAAAGTGCCCCTCCATTTCAAAACTCGTTTTGTCGGTCCTGACTTCATAGTTTGCAAAAAAGAAAAGAATTCTTTGCTTTTTTGCAAACTCACAACATTATACAAAAACCCCATGGGGTTTTTGTATACACAAGTGTGGCCCACACTTCTGTATAATTCTTCAACTCTCATTGAAATTAGAAAAAATGAATTATTTCCATTTTGGGCTAGTTCGTCGAAATAGTTTTATCTTTTTTTTAGACTTACTGTAAGTATCTTAGAAAAGCTAAACACGACTTGAAAATTTGCGTTTTACCGTTTACCAGCAAATTTATAAAATTGTCAGGAGTAGCAGGAAAAATTTCGCATTAGAGCGGTAAAATATATTACTCGTGGCCAGTATGGGGATCGAACCCACGACATTCGCGTTATTAGCACGACGCTCTAACCAACTGAGCTAACCGGCCATACAATGTGGGTAATTTTAAATATATTAATACATCTTTCTTAAGCTTTTACAAAAATTGTTTTGGTCGAAAACCTGATTTTGATTTATACGATTGAGTGCCAACCAGTAAGTACTATATTATTATATATAACTCCAATATATTATATGTAACAGGTTAATAAACATTTTTTAAAGCATTTTTTTTTATGAAATATTTACATATTTTTTCAGTTTAACCATAATCTAATAAAATTATAGGGTGCAATCAAGGCCAGCGCGATAGAAGGTGCGGGGGGAGGGGTGTAATTGCCCCCATCAATGATTTTTAGTCGGCAAATTTGACCCTTAGTCGGCAAATTTGACCCTTTTTGAATAGTTAGTCGGCAAATGTCGACCTTTTCAATAAAGGTTAGTCGGTAATTTAGACAGTTAGTCGGCAAATGTCGTCATAGTAGTCGGCAAGTTTTCGAAAACGTATATTCTTTGGACAAATCAAAAATTGAAATAATTTTATGGGGGAGGGGGGGGACGAGGGGAGGGGGAATCGCTGGAAATTTGACAAATGTACGTATATATATATATATATATATATATATATATATATATATATATATATATATATATATATATATATATATATATATATATATATATATATATATATATATAATATATATATATATATATATATATATATATATATATAATATATATATATATATATATATATATATATATATATATATATATATATATATATATATATATATATATATATATATATATATATATATATATATATATATATATATATATATATATATAAAGTTTTTAAAGATATGCAATCTTTCAGGTATGTAATATAGAAAAACTAATGGAGAAAAAAGTGCTCCTTTCGCAACTAAATTTTTATCGCGTAAATTCTAAGTGTCGAATCTTGTATAATGGTATTTTTTAATTGTAACGTATATGCTACTCTGTGCTAGAGTTTTCTTTAGTTAAAAGGATTGTTTAAAATTTGGCGCAACAATTTTTTTCTTCAATACTTTTTTAGGGCGTGTAATTCAAATTTTTTTTACCCTCGATCATACATAAACCAGTCACGGGTCCATGGAAAAAGACGTGGAACAGGCCCGTACCCTACTTCTAATACTCGATAATGCCTTCAGTTAATTTTATTAATTAAATATCTTTTTTTTTAGTTTGGTATCAACTACCCACCTCATTCCTCCACCACCAAATTCTATTCTGGATCCGTCACTGCACTAAACTGCTTGTATATTGTCAATACCTCCACTCGAAAATGAGTCCGTATAGTCAAGTAACACAGGATTACCTACTGGCATGATAAGTTTAATTTGTTTCTAAAAAAAATGGTCTACATCACAGCATCACTTTTTTTGCAAGAAAAAGCCCAAAAATTGATATTTATATAAACATATTTATGACATGGCCGGTTAGCTCAGTTGGTTAGAGCGTCGTGCTAATAACGCGAATGTCGTGGGTTCGATCCCCATACTGGCCATTGATATAACATTTTATATAGTCGTTATTGAAATTCAAAATTTTGTATATTATTTTTTAATTTTTAAATTATATTTCGTTTTTAAAAAATCATTAATGAAATGCAAGTATTTGTTAATGATTTTTTAAAAACGAAATATTGTTATAAAGTTTTCGCTGTTGTATTTTAATACACTTCGCTGTTGTATTTTAATACAACAGCAAAAAAAATATAAAATTTCATTTTATATAAAAATGTTGTTTACTTTAATATATATATATATATATATATATATATATATATATATATATATATATATATATATATATATATAATATATATATATATATATATATATATATATATATATATATATATATATATATATATATATATATATATATATATATTGTTATGTACTATCCCCCCTTTTCAGGGGGGATAGTACATAACAATGGATGGCCATACAGAGTGATTTTGAAATCCTGCATTAACATCCAATGGAGATTTTTTACCTTGAAGTTTTGAAGAAAATAAGAATTTTAAGCAACATTTGGCAGCCTATTTGTAGTACAAAAATACATTTCTGATTTTTTATCATAAAACAAAAAATGTTAAAAACATAAATTGGGAGCTTTTTTATTTTATTCATTTATTTTCTTTATGATCGCATTTAGAAGATAAACAACAATTTCTATAATTCCATTAAAAGTTATAATGCTCTCTAGAGACGAATCATCTGGAACAAAATAAAGGCACTAAAATATCACAAATCTGTTAAGAGTATTCTTAGGATTTTTTTAACACTGTTATTTAGATCTAGATTTTCTTGCTGTTGTATTCGATCACACACTTCAGGAGTTGGCTGGCATAGTCTGGATGTAAGGAATCCCGTTTGTATCTCTCCCAATGAACTTTGAAATTGGAGTGCAGAGCTTCTGTTGCCTGCTAACTGAAGAGACCCAATCCTGTTTTCTTGATTTTGATGAACTGAGGTACATGGTAAAACACTGCATGTACTTTTGGAGTAACTGAAATGGGTAGGCGGATGTAGCTTTGTTTGAACTTGGAGATCTTCGATTCATAATCAGGATCCAAATTATTGCCAAAGCAAGAAATGACCACATCCTTAAATAGTGCAAGTGTTTGCATGAAGTCATGAGCTTGACTAAAATTGTTGTATCCTGCGACCAATTACAACTTGTCTAAACCTCTCAAGAGCTTCATGCAGTCATTCCCATTGAAATGTCCACCATGGTAGGGCTGAATAGGAATATGAAGTGAAGCTGGCCATTTCTCGGCCCCTGGCCAAATTTTGCAAAGATTTTTATACAAATGGTTTACTACTCCAAGTAACAAATGGAGCTCCATTGGAGGGATAGCTTCAAGCACAAGCTTGTGATCAGGAAAATTAACCAATGGTACGTGAATGACATTTTTGAACTCCTTTGATTTTCTTGTATCTCCTCCTGCGTTGATGAATTCAAAATGTTGTCTCCTAATCTCGCCAAAAGTTCGAGGACTTCCACAGTTTTGGAGGTTTAAAGACAAAACATCACACCAACAACATGGGTGTTTGCTGTTATGGGATTGAATGCCACACAGAATATTTGCCAACTTTAGGTCACATGATATGACCAGAGAATCCATCTGACATTTCTCTTGTACTTGGATGAGGTCAAAAATTGCCTTCACATTATGGTAGTTCAAAAATTGCCTTCACATTATGGTAGTTAGTTTGTGCAATTGCTACCAGTAGTTGCTGCTTGACACTTGTTGATTTAGTTGTTTGTGGAGACATCAATTTGATTGTTTTCTACAGTGGGCTATGTGGCGGTGTGTCACCTTCATCCACAATGATGTGTGTGAAGCTGACTTTCAAAAAAGATCCTTCACCATCAATCCCTAGTTTCAAAATTGCAGAATCTGTCATCTTTCTTGATGCTAAGAAGACATCACTAAGACTACTGAGGTTTTGACAATGCACAACTTGGGATATTTGATTGTTTTCAGCAAGAGTGATGCTGCTCACAGTGAAGTGATCACAAAGTTTTTGGCCTGCTTGAGCGAATTTTTGCTGAAAACTTGGCTCCACCAATCTGATAGGACTGATTTGATTTAGTGCCGATCCAAGTTTTCTCATCCCATTGTTTGAAAGTCCTATATTCTGCTGAATTTGAACCATATTCTGCGTTGTGAGAGGCTCTTTGAAAAGTTGCTGTGCTGATGAAGGTCCTAATTATAAAAATTGCATTTAAAAAATAGTTCATGACCTTCAAAAAATATTAATATTTTTCAAAAACTTACTTAATTTAAAAATAAAATTTTCTCTGCAAATATATTTGCAGAGAAAATTTTATTTTTAAATTAAGTAAGTTTTTGAAAAATAATTAGATAATATTTATATTTTAATTTAATCATTTAAAGTTCAAAAGCACTATTACCTTTTCTCAATGGTAATAACTTTCCACAAGGTTGACTGAGTCTGATGGTGCCATGAGGAGATGCACTTTTTGATGCCAAAACTGTTGCTGCAACTTGCTCTGCACCAATGGGATCAGAGGCAGCCATTCTTCTCAAATTTTCATGGCGTGTTCCAGGAGTGCAGTAGAGAGGAAGCCCACGACCAATAACTGACAAGCACTTAGTACAATGCTTTTCTGCATTTTGCGAAGATTGTTGGGGAACTTTTGGTGCTGAATCTTGAACCTTGCTTAATAGATGCCTTTCTTTTTCCTTGAGTTAGGCAGTCTTACAAATCAAGCACTCACAGACTGTAGAAAAACGAGTAAGAGGCTTGATCGAAATTGATTCAAAGTCATAAATCTGAGGCACAACATTTGTTTTACCATCACACAGCTTTCCAATGTGAGATCTGCAGGAGATGCAGGTCGTCAATGGTACTCTGTCATCATTGAAGTTGATTTCTTTCTGAATTTATTGAAGAATTTTAACTTTGAAGTTTTCAGTCAATTCTTGATCACCTTTCTTCATACAGATAACACAAACAGATTTTCTACATTCTTCATGGTTTTTGGCAAATGTAGGCATCTTTAAATTCTTAAATATTTGTTCACAAAAAAATATGTTTTCCTTCAAAAACTATTTTAAAGTGTACTGCCTTTTCCCAGAATATATTTGTTTACTCTTTTCGTTAGTTTCGAAAGTTCGATTTTACGCTTGCACTGATCAAAACGCTCAATAAAGAATTATTTCAAAATAAATGAATAAAATAATAAACATTTTACGTTTCATGGGCTACAATCTTTATTTTATAAAAAAAATTAAGGGAGCAAGTTTAGTACCATTAATAGGCAGCTTAATTTGGCTCATAAATCAACCCTTTTAAAAAACCTTCATGATTAAATAATTCTTTTTGATGTTAATCTCCGATTTCAAAACAACTTAATATAGACTCCCATTGGCATGTACTATCACCCATTAAAAGGGTTTTCATAGGGTATTTCATTGATATTAGGGTCCCAAATTTACAAACCGTGAACAGTAAAAAATGTTTTCAAAATTTTTTGAAGATTTTAAACAATAAAATATTTAATGTTTAAATATTTAAAATGTTATTTGAAACAAAATTATTCAAAAAAACTAAATTAAACTAATTTTTATTTGAATTTTTTTCAATGCATTATTAAGTAAAAAACTCAGATCCAAACATCAAAATACATATAAAAAAAAGTTGTCGGCAACAGAAAGTTTCATATAAATATATATATATATATATATATATATATATATATATATATATATATATATATATATATATATATATATATATATATATATATATATATATATATATATATATATATGTATATGTATATATATATATATATATATATATATATATATATATATATATATATATATATATATATATATATATATATATATATATATATATATATATATATATATATATATAAACACACACACATACACACACAAATGTAAATTTAAGTGACATACAGTACTTATTTCTACATTTTCTTGTCTTCAAAAATGTTTAAACAAAGTTTACCTTGGCTATTTCGTTCATAAGTTAGCTGTTAACAATTATTTAACTTACTTAAAGAAGTGCACCAACGATCGATCGTTGGTGCACTTCTTTAAGTAAGTTAAATAATTGTTAACAGCTAACTTATGAACGAAATAGCCTTCTCGAGAAGGTAAACCATAGGACTTTGCACTCCATCTGTAAGCTGTCATGTTGCCTAAGGTTAACCCATTTCTGGATTCTTTACTTTACTTTATAGGTAGTTAATAAAAAGTAATCGTAACTTAGTCTAAGAATAGCCCTCCATTTCTGAATTCTTTTCTTTTTATATTTTAATTTTTTTTATATCTATAATAACATGTAGTTTAGCATAACCTAAAAAATAATAAAAAATATTGATAAATAATATAAAAATACCCTTTAATTAAACAAAATGGGTACATATAAACACATAAAATATAATTAATACCATCGAAAAAGATAAAAATCACTGCACTCTAAAGCAGTAAAAACAGATTATTAAAACATATTTTTGTTGATTTTACTAATAAAGGAAATAATTTAAGTTTAAATTACAACATAAAATTATATTTAATAAAAAAAACCTTGTGATCCTCGCTACAAAGAACATGATTACTTTTTTTAAAATCAATTAATAAAAGTAATGATCATAGTTCATTAGGTTCATTCGTTTCCACTTATTTGATCAGTTTGTATTACTTGTGCACATTTCAAAGATACTTTAAGAGAATTTTTTTTCGCGAACACAATGTTGAAAAGAAATACCTACAAAATCAGATGGATTATAAAAAATTTTGATAAAGAATGTTTTTTTTTTTGTCGCTTTATTTAGCCTTGAACCCTGAATTTTTACCATCAATTCTTTTTTTGTTTTGTTTTTAACAGCCACATAACGTAATACACAAGGTTGAAAATTATTACTTAAATTACTTAAAGATTGTTTGGAATTAAATTTTCTCAAAAGAAAAGTAAGATTAGTAAGAAGTTTAATTTGTTCTTTTGGTTCTTCTAACTTTGTTTTAAAAATTTTATTTTTAAACTTTTAGTTTAAAAAACTTTTACTCTAAGTCACATTCCATACTGGAGATGACAAAATTAAGTTGAGGAAGGAGTAATTTTAATTTTTAAGATTCTTCTATATTAAAAACTTTTCTACAGCTTTTTCAAATGAAATCTATGCTTTCATATTTAAACTTATTAAGTTAATAAAAGTTTAATTTTTTTTTTTGGTATAGTTAAATTTTTTCTCTATTTTTTCCTTTATAATTTTCTGTAAGACACATAGCTTTATCCTTTTTGAGAACTTCTTTCCTTTAACCATATTTGTTTTTTATCATTGGTTTTTGAACATTCAAGTAATTCTTTTCGTACTTCATCAGTTTTACTATTTAGTTATTTTTACATTTGATTCTGAAACCACATTGTCAAAGCCTAGAAAGTTTGATTATTTGCATTTGGTTTTATGCGTTTAAATTACAATACCAACTTGCTATTTTTGCAATGCTTCTTTCTAATGTTATTAACTAGGTGAGTTATCTTTATGGCTAATGATTTTTTACAGCAAAACAATTATGCGGTAGTGGTGTAGTGGTAGAGCGCTCGCTTCATAAACGAGTGGTTCGGAGTTCGATCCTCACCACGTCCCTGGTAGTACCGCGCTCAACTCGTTTCTCCGCGCAGCGGCCTTGTTCATCAAGGTTCGTGTTTCGGAGTTATAGAGTTGAGAGAGGGTTATAGCCACAGATAAGTAGCCTCCTCGTCTGTAGTGGCCTTCTCGGCCTTGAGGAGGTGAATTAAAATAATAATAATAAAAAAAAAAGTTTAATAATAAATATACAATGAAATATACAGTTTTCCAGAAATCAAGCCAAATAAATATATAAATTTTTAACAGTTAATTACATTACTTGTTTTAAATATATAAATTTTAAACAGTTAATGTAAATTATGTAATGCAATTATATTCTAATTTTCTAAATTTAATAACAATTTAGTTGTTTATATATCGAAATAATACAAATACTTTTTAAATAACATTCACAATGTTATATATGCAATTTAAAGTGTAACTTACAAAATCATAAAACTTACTGAAAAATTTTCTGATGATTTAATTAAATCAATTAATTAATTTTAAAAAAAAGTTCAATTAATTATTTGAACTTAAAATGAAAGTATTTACATTTGTACACAATACTATTCAAAAAATGTGTGTCTTTCATTATAAGACACTCATTGAAAGTTTCAAAGACTTTGTATAAAAAACAATGAAGTACAAGATTATTTTATAAGAAATGCAAATAATTATCACTAAAAAAAACCAAAACAAGGAAAGCGGACAAAAGTCTACCTTTTACAACGGGATAAAGTTGTACAACGAATTGCCAAATGAATTTCAATCTCTTGACATGAAGGGATGCAAGAATTTTTAAAAGGAAAAAAGCTTTTAAAAGAAAAAGGATGTTTTTAAAAAAAGATTTTCAATTATTACATTACAGCTAATTTTACAATTTTAAATAGCTGTAAATAGGCTGATCATCATCATCACCATCATCGTCATCATCATCATCATCATCATCATCATCATCATCATCATCATCATCATCATCATCATCATCATCATAATAATAATAATAATAACAATTATTATTATTATTATTTTTCAGTAAGTAAATAATTATTGCTTATCAATAAGTAATCCTTAGTAATCCTTCTTTTGAATGTTGTTAATAAAAAAATCTATGCAACAATTAAAGCTAGATATATCATCCTAATTATTCTATATCTATACTTTTAAACAAGTAAAGACCATCTACGTGCACATTTTTTTTCCACATAAAAAATAGTCTAACTTTCCACATAAAAAATAGTCTAATCTTTCTGTAAAAATCAGTAATATATCTGGTCTTCGAACCAAAATGATGTTTTGATTTTTTGAAAAATCAAAACCTCATTTTGAGTCATAGTATCTTTCGCTCACCAAAGATATGTGCGTTAGACTATTTTTTATGTGGAAAAAAAATGTGCACGTAAATGGTCTTTACTTGATTAAAATATATATATATATATATATATATATATATATATATATATATATATATATATATATATATATATATATATATATATATATATAAGCACAGCTTTGTCTAGGGGACTTATTTGCAAATTTAGGGGCCCTTTTAAAAATCTAAGGATTTTTTATTTAGTATAATTTATTGGAAAAGTTTTTAAGAAATTTGGGGCCCTTATGACAGGTTTTTTTTTTTTTTTTTTTTAATTGGAGGGGGGATTGTATCTAGTCATATACAATATATATATCAAATTATATACAATATAATTTAAAATAATTTAATATAAAATTATATTTATTTTATAGTTTTGTATAATTTATTTATCAGTAACTAAAGGAATGTTATTAATTTATTATATGAATCACAAACATTTGCTTATCTATTACAAGTACATTTTAAAACGTTGAAATAAACGTATATTATAAGATTAAAGGTTGTGTTTTTCTAACTTCGATCGTGAAAATTACATTTTTTATCTGAATCTAACAGTTAAGTTTAACTTTTTTACATCTCCCCAGCCAACATTAACAGACGGGTACCGTATGGTCTTTGTCTGGGCTTTTGGGAATATTATTTTGACGTTTCAGTTTGCGGACGGGTCCCATATGGTAAAAAAATCAGACATCTTTGC